CTTCCTTCCTTCCTTCCTTCCTTCCTTCCTTCCTTCCTTCCTTCCTTTTTTTTTTTTTTAAATTATTGCCAGGCATAATGGCACACATCTTTAATCCCAGCAGGAGGTGGAAGCCTGAATGTGTGTGTATGTGTTTGAGTGTGCGTGCGTGCGTGCGTGTGTGTGTGTGTGTGTGTGTGTGTGTGTGTGTCTGGATGGTAGGGAAATGGGAGGAGCATGTTGTGAATGAAGCCTCTTGCAGAAAGGAACTGGATGCAGCCCTGTTGCACCAGCAGTGTGAGCAGGCAGCACTGATGGCCCTCCTGCACGGCAAAGAGGAGAAGGAAGCGGAGGCATGGGCCAGGTTGCACCAGATGTCCCTCATCTCCCCCTGGAAGGGCAGAGAACAGTTTGAGGAAGAGACCGAGGAGAGCTGGAATGAATGGGTTAAGGACAAGCAGGTAGGGAAAGTGGGGGGAGGGAAGCCCCCCTCCCAGCTTCTGCTACTGCTCTTACCTGTAACCCCTGCAGGTAAGCACAATCGTGGGAGCGGCGTACAAACCCAAGGAACGCGTGCGGAACGCCAACCTCCTGGTGTCCAGGGTGCAGTATAACTGGATGCGGCAGCAGGTGAGGGACTGAGGGTGCGTCAGCGGTGCTGGGGCCATCTGAGGCCAGCAGATACCCTGGGGTCTGTGCCCTCTGTTTCTGGCATAAACTGGCCGTGTCGCCTTGCCTTCTGTCAACAGAAATCTCATCTCTGGGGACACAGGCCACTGACTTAATGGAGGGGTGGTCCTCTTCCAGTCTTTCCTGTCTATCGCCCCCCCCCGCCCCCGGGCACCATTATAGTCTTTGGCAACCCATTAGCAGATTGACTACCCCTGTACCCATGGGTGTAGGCAATCAAGAGCAGACATGAGGGATGTGGGTACCGGGTATACAAGTGGGGATTACATGGAAGGGTGGCTTCCCTTAGGTGGATAAAGGGAAATCCGAGACTTCAAAAAATCAGTCAAACCCCATCCTGTCTCTTGCCTGCACAGACCTTGCCCAGTCTCTCCCTCCCATCTGCCTTAGGGCATTATGGGAATTCCTGTGATGCCAAAAGCTACATCCCCACTGTGTAGGTTGGTGTGAGAGAGTTCTGGAGGTTCCTCAGAGCCCAGCTTGGGGACTGCTGATGGGAGACCTGACCCATGCCCAGGAACTCTGTATCAGGCCCGATTTGAGGTCTAACTCATGGCCTTGCTCAAAAGTCCACAGGAGTCCTGGTGCCATGACCACCTCACAGACAAGCATGGGGAGGAGAGGGTGGGAAGGTGGTCCTACTGAGGGCTGTGTGGGGCCCACAGCTGTGGTCTTTAGAAGCAGCCACAGCACTAGAGATTTATATGACATAGGAAGACCTGAGGGACCTCCCTTGCTGCAAGCCTGTTCTGGGTCCCTGGTACTGCCAGCTCCAGCAGGCTTTCACCTCCTGTTCTGTTCCCAGATCTCCCCTCAGATCTATCAAAGCCTGTGCTACACCGACCTTAAGCCAGTCCTGCATCCCGACTTCCTGATGTTTAGGGTCCTGGACCAGCAGAGCCGGCACATCCGCTGGGTGGCCAGTGATATCCAGAATGAGCTGGAAGCTGTCCGTGGTCAGATCTTCACAGGAACCAGCAACACACCTCTTGGCTCCATCTCCTCCCTCTCCGCGAATTCCCTGGGAGCATCAGCCTCCCGGGTTATGGACCCTACCCCTGTGAAGCCTTCTGCATCCTGCCCGAGACCTTTCTCAGCCTCTCCAGCTCTGTCTGTCTCTTCTCTATCACCCCAGACCTTCTCCCGCAGAGGTCAGAAAACCCAATGCCAGTTGATCCCTTTCTCATTCAACATCCAAACCCTGGGGGAGTAGCGTTCATGTCCTCTATGAAGAGTGGCTTCTACCTCATGTTTTGAGGTGTTTATTCTTTTCTCTATTCTGTAACAGGGGATCCATAAGGCGTTGCATGTCCCTGGCTTATTCTCCTCTAGGCCTAGGGGATGCAGCCCTTTCCCCAGGGGCTACCACACTGTGTCTGTCTGGATAAATCCAGCTGTCTTGTGGCTCTGCACAATTCTGGAGAAGACAATAAATGTTCTGTGTTAGACAGTCCTACAGTTAACATGGCTGGGCTATGTCTTTCACCCCCTTAGGTCCCTGCTATGCTATGGGGCAAGTCACAATACCTGGCAAGGCTTTAGGCAGACACACACTTTGGCTATCATGCAGCAGGCCCACCCTCCTAGGGCTCTGTGTGGCATGACAGGTAGATCACATGGTCTGGATGCCTTATGGCTGATAGCAGCCTGATTCAGCTTCACAGAAGTTATTCTGGGCCGACAGTGTCTGCTTGTCCTTTGTCCCTGCTGTCTGTCCTCTTTGGCTGTCAGGCACTCCAGACCCAGCCCTAGTGTTTGGAAGCTGCTCTGTGCCTTGTGTCAGGGATATCTGGGATGGTTCCTCCTCTGGACTTGGAGCATCTGTTTCAGCCAGAAACACCTGTCCCAACCTCTGCCTGGCCTGTCCCTCACAGAAGGTCAACTCTGGGTTGTATGTGCACACAGAAGAAGAAGCATGAGGTCCCACTAGTTTAAACAGGAACCCCTTAGGGAGAATGGCTTGTGGCTCTGGGCAGAGCAGAATTCTCAGGCTCATTCTTGCCAGGGATGTAGCACCAGGCAACCTCCCAGCAGCCCCAGGCATTAGGGTAGCCTCAGCTAGCTTTAAAGCCAACCAGGGACAGTGGGCTCAAGGCTCAGCAGTGGCACAGGAAGGAAGGGCTAAAGAAATTAGAACCTTTCAGGCCTTGGGGTTTGGGCTGGATCTATCAAAGTTCCCACAACCCATGGGAGCTATGTCTGCAAGCTCCTCACAGAGAGCCCCTCTATATATGTTTCTTATTTTTTATGTGTTTGTGTTGTATATGTGTGTATGTTCTCATGTGTGTAGGTACTCGTGTTCATGTGTGCATGAACACACACAGGTCCAAGGTCAATGTGAGGTTATTTCCTCTCCTTTATATCGAGGTAAGGTTGCTCAGTGGATCCAGAGTCGCCACATGACTCTGGGGACGTCACACATGGGTCCTGGGGATCTGAACTCTGGCCTTCATGCTTGTATGGCAAGTGCTTTACCCACTGAGCCATCTTCCAGCCCCTCATGTATATCTCTTATATGTGGACTGTACTGAGTCCTGGGTCAGGTGTTGTGGGAATGGGGTTCCGAGACAGAAGCTTAAAACCCCACTCCTGGTTAGCATACCAAGAGGGCCTAGGGTCTTCTAGGCAGCCTCCGTGCCTGGGGTGACAGTACTTTGGGGCACCCCAACCTCAGGTTTATACTCTAGACCATTGCTGAGGAAGACAAATCTACCACAATAAATCCTTAAAACGAGGCCCAGGGCCTTGGCGGCTTGTGTCTCAACAGGGGCTTCTGTATCATCAGCTTCTGAGCAAACTTTGCAGCCCTTGGTTTTATGTGTGTAACCATATTTGTAAGTATCTACTAATCTAGAAAAAAAAAAAAAACCTTCCCCAATTTGGAGGTATATCAGAGTCTTCTGGAGCAGGGGCTCTCAATCTTCCTGATGCTGAGCCCCTTTGATACAGTTCCTCGTGTTATGGTGACCCCTCAACCATAAAATTATTTTCGTTGCTACTTCATGACTGTAATCTCGCTACTTTTATGAATCATAATTTGAACATCTGGCATGAAGGCTATCTGATATGCCACCCCTGTGAAAGGATCAGTTGCCCTTCAGAGGGGCCGCAACCCGCAGGTTGGGAGCCACTGCTCCAGAGGAGCAGAACCAACAGAGCATCCATACAGGCCTTCTAGCTGCTTCTTCTCAATATTGGCAAAATAGTCCAGCACCAGCTGTCTCACACCTGAGGGGCTGAGAACCTGGTAGTTTTTGTTAGGATTGGTGCCTCAGCAGCCAGAGTAGTCCAGAGAGCCTGAGAACCCCATGGTTGCCCAGTCCTAATCTGTCCTCAAAGGCCTGGAGGCTCCCAGAGGGCCACTGGCTCTTGATCCTAGATGGAAACCTGGAAAAGCTGATTCTAATATCAGTGAAGAAGTTGGTGGCCACAAAGAGGGCAAATTAGTTTAGAGCAGGAGGGAGGAGCGAATGATTTTTTTTCCTCTCCTTTTTTATCTGGGCAGCTATCAAAAGATGCCACTCACATTTGGGATGGGTCTTCTCACATCCACGAAGGCAGTCAAGACAGTTCCTCACAGATGTACTCCTAGGGTAACCCAGTATAGGCAATAGCTCCCTGCTCAGGCAATTCTACATGGGTCAAGCTGACATTTAAAACCAACCATCACAGCCTGTCCCTTGTCAACTTGACACAGAAACACAGCACTATAAAAAATCACAGCCTTCATGCCTTGACCCCGAAGTCTCATGTTTATTTTACAGTGTAAAATACAGTCTAACTTCTATTATTCTCTTTATGTATATGGGGGCTTTGCCTGCTTGTATTTATTTCTTCTGTGTGTCCCGTGTGCAGTACCCACGGAAGTCACAAGAGGGCGTCAGATCCCTCAGGACTGGAGTTACAGACAGTTGGGAACCTCCGTGTGGGTGCTGGGAATCGAACTTGGGTGCCCTGGAAGAGCAGCCAGTACTCCTACTGCTGAGGCTGATTCCATCGTCTACCACCTAGTCCGTATTTCCTCCACTCTCAGTAGACACCTCAGTAGGTCTTGGTTCTTTGCTCGGAGAGGTGACTCACATCTTCATTCTCGAAGGTCTATGCCATCTGTCATCCTTCCTGAATGGGGCTGTTGCAGCTGTTGTGGTCTTTTACCGACCTCAATAGTGTCTCTTACATCCTCCCATTGTGGAGAGGTAGTCCAGTTTCCCTCTGGTAGTCTAGATCAGTCGCATTATGAGCCCAAAGTGCCCAGGAGGAAGTCTTAGTCTCCACAATGTTTATTTGTGCCTCCTGGTGGAAGCTTTACGTGCAGGAAAGGCAAATCCATAACCAGATCAGAAATCTGTTCCAGGAAAGATGAAATGCTGCCCTTTCCATGATGCAAATGGCCCAGTGGGGTCAACTTGCCATCAGGCCTGGCTCCTTTTCACATCTGTGGACAAAGTAAGGGAAAGGAAATGAGTTCAATGATACAATAGACCAACTCCGAATGGGCACAAATAATCTAAATGTTTCTAAGTGTGCCCCGGAAGAAAGAAGTATTTGCAGTAGCCATAGATCTCCAGTTTCAGAAACCCAAACCCAAGATTTCATCACACAGTATACGATTGGCTGACTTACAATGCGAATTAACTACGAGCATCAAAGGATGTCTGCAGTTGAAATGATTGGGATCCTATAATTTGGGGTTGGAGATGCTCCGAGACACTCGTTCCGCTGAATTAAATACTCTCCCTACTCTTAGCAGAGGATGCATTTCCACCCCAGCCCGTGCCAACCTCCTGTAGTACTGCAGGTTGACTTTAGAACCAGCTGTCACGAGAGGTGACAAGACCTTCCCCTGGGGGTTTAGATAGGGTCTCTTCTGTGGGTCGCAGAGGCCCATGGTTACTGTTTCTTCAGCCACACTGTCCTTCATCTGAGAGATAGGCATGGCTAAACTCAGGGGTGGATGGCTCTGATCTGAGCCTCTGGATCTTGACCTCTGTGGAGATCCTAGCCTCTGTCTTTGCTCTCCCAGAGCCACCCCACTTATGCCTGGACTGGGTTGGGAGGCCTGGGATCTCTCTTCCATGGTGGGCTTCTCCTGGCCCAAATCAGACAGGGTATGACCCTGAGCCATAGGGCCTAGGGAACACCGAACCCCTTCCCACCCTGCTCTCATGCAGCTAGTAGGAAGCATCAGTCTTAGCCTGTAATGACAACAATGACAGGCACAGAGTACTTACTGTGCAAAATTCTAAGACGTAGGGTCTGATACTATCCCAGTCTACCAGATGATGAGGCCAAGGCACAGAAAGGATGAGTCTTTTGCCCAGGAGTCACAAAACCGGTTCGAGGTAAAGCTGGGATTTGAACTCAGGAAGACGACTGACTGCAAAGCCCATTAAAAAAAAGAAGTCTTTGCCAGGCATGGTGGCACATGCTTTGAGTCCCAGCACTCAGGAGTCAGAGTCAGGCAGATCTCTGAGGTCCATCTGATCAACAGAGGGTTTTAGCCAGGGCCACACTACAGAGAAACCCTTTCTGCATCGTAGGTCTGCACACCATGTTTCTCTACAGTGCCTGAAGAGGCCAGGGAGGGCACTGGCTCCTCTGGAACTGGAGTTACAGACAGTTGTTAGTTGCCCTGTGGGTGCTGGAAATCAAACTGGGGTCATCTGGAGGAGCAAACAGTGTTCTTAACCACCGAGCCATCTCTTGAGCCCCCTGAGCCTTGAACAAAACAATGATACAAAAAACAAAACTTCCAAACAGCCTTTGTCTTTGTCTTGACCCTCTGGGGTGGGGGCTGGGGCAGGGGGGGGCATGTGTCCAGTGGTTATGGGCTGCTGTGATGACATTCTAACAGATAACAAGTACATGACTTCAGGGCAGAACTCAGCTCTGCACTCAGCAGGCCAAGAGTGTTACACTTCTTCCACACGGCCAGAGGAGGGAGCCATATCCTTTCTGGAAAAAAATTCAGTAAATCTGACCAGGCAGGTACCATGTGGACAATTGATCAGGGACACACAGCTCTCAGGGTGGCTTGCCAGTAGCTCTCTGGTGTCCACTGATGGTTCTGTACCTCTCTGCACAGCCAAATCATTGGGGCCTCTTCAATCTTAGAACGCTGTCTGCCAGGCAAGATATATATATGTGTGTGTGTGTATATATATATATATATATATATATATATATATATATATATATTTTTTTTTTTTTTTTTTTTTTTTTTCCCTAGTTCTGGGAAACAAATTCAAGCTGACTGGGAGTTAAGGTGTTGGGCCCAGGACACAGTAGGGCATTGCAGGTGGGTGCGAGAGCAGGGCATTCCTGGAGTTCCCTTAGCCTCATTTGTGGTTGTAAGCTTGTGGTTGCCCTGGAGGTAGGCCTCAGGTCTGCTGGTCTCTAGTGCCACCTAGTGGCTGCTCTTCTCATAGGGTAATTGTCCTGCTGC